TCGTGAAAAGGAAAGTATCACTTTTGGTCGAAATAAATAGCCTAAAGCTCCAAGCAAAAAAAAAAAGATATTCAAAAAAACCTATTAGTATAAGAGCTAATTTCTAAAATGCCTGAACAAGCTAATTTCGCTTCTAGTAGAGACCTATTCAAGACATGGAACATGCACAAAAGACGCAAAGATGCTTCTCTTCGATTACGGACTCAATTTTGACCCAGGGACTTTAATGAAGCACAATATGCTGATCTAATATGTGGCGAAAATTATGAATAAAACCGCCGCTTGTGCAGAGGATTCACGCAGCCACCACCTGACCAGTGCATATGCGTCATATTTTCGAAGGTGGCCCGCGTGGTCACTCACTTTTTTGCCGGAACCACTCAGTAATGGTTGTCAGCAAGGTAAGCACCATGCCATGCCCATTGGATTTTAATTTCTCGCATAGTCGTAATGATATTCTGCACTGCCTGGCGACGAAATAGGGATGAAGGATGAGATACATCAATCGGCGTCTTCCAGCAATGCTTCATGCTCCAAAGCATCTTCTTTTTGAGTGTTCAATCGATCGTAATAGAAGTACTGCACAACCATGCCAATATCAAAAAAACAACAACCAAGACTGCCTGCCAGCCATGGCAAATGGCGCAATATATAATGCCAACTTGTAGCTTCAAGTAAAACCTGCAAAATCAAACTTACACAATGACATACAGGAAAAGTGGTATGAAGACAATACCAATGACAAATATATTTAAAAAATGAACAAATGGACAAGATTCGATTCATCAAACTGCTTATTTTTATGCGTTTTGTGCTGTGCAACAGTTACATAAAAAAACATGTTGTTACGGCGTTGTGTGTGTGTGTGTGTGTGTGTGTGTGCGTGTGTGTGTGCGTGTGTGTGTCCCTGATGCACCGTTTTTTATTCGGCACCACAGTTGGACCTCGTCAGCAAGACAGTTGTTTTATTGGTAAATTAAAAGTATTGTTTAAACTATAAATATGCATAGCAGCAGTTTAAAAAAAAGTTTAGAAGAAAAAATGTGCAGAAAAATATATACGAGTGGAAAAGAACTTGTTCGTAAATCTGTAAATATGCGAACGGAAAGACGCAAACACACACAAGTAAAAACTCTTTACAGCATGCATTTTGACACTATATAAGTGTAAAAAAAGGCTGCATAAAAAAGGATCTGAAAAAAAAAAACTTACAGATAATCCATATGTAGCATTTGCTGCTATTATAATATAAAACATAATCAATGATAAACCTGCAATTAAGATCGAAATACTGAAGATAAATTTGTCTTACCATATAAAAATCGCAACATAAAGCTATTCCTCGCATAAATTTTCCAAGAAACTGTTTGCCAACTTTTCACAACCACACTTATCTATACGTATCACTGGGATTATCACTGCCCGTTTCTTCACACGCAAAAATTTCAGCAGACTTTCCTTCTTATTTTTTTTCACTTTCTCTGCTGTTATATAATCATTATCTCATCTACTGATCGACAAACACTCCAGGTATCTCTAATCTCACAAAAGTTACAAAACTGAGGTATGCAAAAGAAGAGAATCTGCTCAAACCACGAATCATCGGGGGAAACTTATAATCAAAACGACTAGTACCATTCACGACAAGCCTGAAAAAGTAGCTTGGGAAAATTTTGTCGAAGACGAAAAACCAAATACTTCATTTAAAACACACCTTCGCAAGACTGCCTGTAATAGTTCTTGAGCAACTGTGGAATTCGACCAGCAAAATAACATGCTGCAGCTACGGAGCCTATTACATATCCAAGCTGAAAATTTAGATGCGTTTTTCTCAAAAATTCCAGTGAAACCGAAAATTTCGGAAAAAAAAAGGAAAAAATCCCGGAAGAACCAATCCTCCGTGACAGTAAAATCCACAAAACAATGTGAGAACCGTCACAACACAAAAAAAAAAATCACTCCTCCCCTAAACAACAAATTTTGCTGCAATCAGCAAGCAGTTCACCGAATTATCCCCGGATATATACATTCAAGACAAGACTAAATTGCTGCTGCTAGAGGTAAAAGAACGTAAAAAACGTGAAGAAAAATCGTAATTCAGCGATCCCAAATCACATCTTCCCCTCTGGAAATTTAGCAAGAAGCCTGAAAATCCTACCATATCATAATAGCCGTAAAAGAATGGCGGTCCACGAAGGCTGGACGAAAGTAGCCGTCTACTCGTAGGGGCCGGTTGAGATACGTCTGCGCGTCCACGTGATAATAGCGTCCCACCAGTGACCAGACCAATAAATGCACCCGGCACTATCGCTACTGGATTTACAAATCGACTCGTTCGGGCTGAAATTTGATGATCAAATTTGAGCGAAAATTAAATAATCGTAAAAAAATTTCATGATCACCGAAACGAATTGCTGCTGTGCAGTAGCTCCAACGTGCAAAAATTTGAAAAAATTTATTCTAGAAATGTGGGGAGCTTTAAAATTTAAAAATTCTGTGTCGCTAGCTAAATTTTCAACTAAAAAAAAGGGAATTCTCCATTCCTAACGGCAATCGATGAAGCTTTTCCTGTATCGAAAAACTTAAGTTGCTTCCGCTACATAAGATACTTTAGGTCCGTTCCAGTCAAAGGAATGTGCCATTTTATAAGGGATTTGAAAAAATATTTCTTACTTGTTTACAAAATATTGAATTACCTCTTAATCGGCGCTGATAGATACGATTGTAATAAAAATACTGGCCGAGTATTACTAAATCCTGAAAAAAGAAACTTCACATCCGAATTTTTAAAAGTTCGAAATTTCAATTTATTGCCGAATTTAAGAAAAATATATGCCATTTTTTGACAATAAAGAAAATGACTGCAGATTTTCCTTCCAATAATTATTTGTTTGTAACTTGGTCTCGTAGTTGATTATTCGGTCATCGATAAAATCTATCATTTTTACTTGATAATGACTTATGGA